ATTGCCACAATATGCCGCCATCTCTGCATTACCTGCATCGGGTTTGAGGAGTGCAATTGATTCATTGCATATTTTGTTAAGAAGACCTACGATTATCATATTAGAGAGGTACTCACTGGAAGATATACAACTGTGCAATAAAACATTTTGTATAAAACTGGCAAGGCCTTTATATAGTTATAGGCCTATACGTGATGCCTAATATAGAGTTTATAAGTCACAAATTTTCTCAATAATCGTAAACAGTAAGAAAATAATTCAGAGATTTGAGCATATTGCCGTAGTTTTTTCGGATATCCTTGCTCAATACGCCAAACGCCGATTCCATCTCCAAAAGTTGTCCAAATCAGATCGCAGACCCAACAGTCCAGATTCTTAGTTACTGACTCGTCATTGCCTCCCAGTTTGCCGACTGACGATTCGATGCTACAAATATTGGGTCGACTGTCTTTTAACAGTTACAAATAACAGTCGTAGGATCGTTCAATAATACACTCGATCCCATGGTTGACCTCTGCGTTTCGAGGTGGGCCGCCTGCAGTTCCGCTGTGTTATGCTCAGCTTCACATTTACCCTTCTTTGTGCCGGTGATGCCACCGCACGGGCACACCAGCAACACTGGAACTGAGCATAATCGTTATAGGAAAATTTCAGATCAACATTCGGTAAATTGGATATCGATTAATTGAGAGTACATCACGACATTTGACAAACTGGGAAATGAGATTGTTTAGTCGGAAACTAACATTCGGCAAATTGGGTTTCAACACTGTCGACAAACTGCCATTTGGCAAACAGTGGGAAATGAGGCTGTTTAGTAGGGGAAACTTACGTTCGGAAAACTGGGTTTTAACAGACTTTAATCGGCAAACTGGAATTCGGAAAACTGAGAAATGAGTTTGTTTAGTCGGAAAACTGACATTCAGAAAACAGGGTTTTAACAGACTGGCATCGGCACTACTAGCATTCGGCAAACTTGTTAAACTGACCTGACATTATATAGATCAAGTCAAAGTATCTGGCCATATCATAATAGTGCATTTCAATTCAGAGGATAAGTATCAAGTGTTATTGGTAAATATTACGCCATTTCACACAACGATTATTCCCAAATGGTTAAAGGCCTATATACATATTCTGAACTAGAATGTATTGCAGTTCTAATAGGCCTACTACGGACTTACCAACATATTCTACTGTACTGTACATTCCTGGCAGGCCTACATTATAAATAATATAGAATAGTCGGCTCAATCTAATGACGCAAACAATTTCACAATGATTTACCACAAAACAATAAGCAAAAAGGGTTCGCCGACATGCACACACTTTTTATTCAATTAATTTTCGGCTTGACACAGATGTTGTCCAGACGATAGAAGTTGAATATCAGACTGCATGAAGATGTAAATGTAGATAATCTAGAACTGTTAATAAGCGGCACCAATATATTCTAGGTGAGGGTACTATTCAGTATAAATGTCCATATCAATACAACAGCTATAACATTAATCGGTATTATAATTATTTTTGTATTTCATTGTAATTTGGGAATCGACGTTTCTATCCGGGCAATTAAGTGTACTCTTGCGGTACATACATGATGGAAAGCTGTCAAACCGCATGTAATTACAATCCCTGGGTGGGTAAGGGTTACTACAATGCGAAGAACACACAATAAGGGCGAGGCTAACTAGGTCACGTCTAGATTCCTCATTACAGTTCCGAGACGCCCGAGACAGTTTAAGCATTTGCAAGTGTGGGCCACTGCAGCCACACGATTTAACGGAACAAACCACGTTTTCCCAAAAGTGCGGTATTACAACGAAATACACATGTTCTGGGGAAATGCATTGTCTGTAATTCTGATTTCCACGGTGACAAGGTATTTACCTTACTTGTTGGGAATCATGTTGCGCATCAATTATTACAACTTCATAATTGAATGTCGGGTATCCATACTGCGTGCTAATCCGCGAAAAAAAAGTATTCGTGCTTAGGAATTTTTAAACCACATAAGCAGTGTAAATTAAAAAATGATAAGCAGATTTATTTACTTGGCCAAAATCTTGTTTAAAACTCGACAGATATACACGATGGTCAGCGCTAACACACCTGTATTCTTCATGTGCCGTTTAACATAATTCTCATTTCCTCTTTCTGGATAAATTCACGCCACGCACCATGACAAGCCGAATTAATAAGCTAGTTAATAAACAAAGCAAGCGCCATGGTGGAAATATTTATTTTTTGGAATCAATTAAAAAAAAAACGAAGAAAGGGTAAGGAAAGAATTAAAGAAACTTTACATATTTAAAGAAAGGAAATGAATAATCTTAAGATAAAACTGAGAGATGAAGAAATCATTTTATATAAATCTATGAAAATAGGAATGCATATTGTTTTGCTAGAATATTAATTTGAATGAAAATTAAGCAAATAATCTAAAGTGAAATATATATAGGCCTATTTTTAAATCTTTAATTGGAATTAACAAATGTAAATTCTTTAATATAATAAACTTATATAAAATAATAAATATTTATAATTAAACAACTCGTAAAATAACTTGAATTAATAACTTTTTAAAATAATTTTATTGTATGTTTAAACACCTTTGAAGCAGTTGTTTATAGGGTCTACATTGTGAGTCATGTCGATCTAACTCATTTTCATACACATGCTAACCACCCCGTCTCTCCTTCGCGTGTTTCCTGAATAAGGAGTTCCGAAGTGCCCATTCAAAGTCAAAGTTATCCTGTTTTCAGATTACCTATCCTTGTTCGTTTTATCTTTTTTTTCACTCTATAAATGAGATAAGTACAGCAACTGGGTAACACTCATCTCTAAGAGAACAGACAGAAATAAAGGGCGCCATATTATTATATTAGATTGCTATTGTCAGGGGCGGCGGATTTTAAGGCTCCCTTTTTGGAAAGTAAAAAAAAAAGAAAGAAATAATTGATCGCCCAAAACGTCTCAGAGGCTATTTTCGGGCGGCTGGAAAACAACAAATTCTCGGGGGCATGCCCCCGGACTCCCTAGGCTAGTGTTGTCTCGATCGCACCCCCACCCCTACCATTTCGGACATCTCTGGATCCGCCCCTGATTGTTGTTATTTTCACTTTACTATAATTATCATTATCATTTATTAGGCTATCATTCACTTTCAATTAGGCCCATTCACTATAAAAGTGAAAGGAACCGTATCTTTTACATAACGTGGTGTTAGTTAAGACCTTTGAATTATCAACAAGGTTTGATTTAATTCTTTCACTTCCGATTAAAAAACAGTGACTTGCTTTATTTGAACACTCATATCACCTCAGAACACGATGGGGGTGTCAATATGAGAAGGGCTCTAAAGCATATTGCGAGTGTGGGCCACTAATTGCGCATCTGATCTTCAGTGTGTTAAAGTAGGTTGACAATAAGGCGAAGAAGGCGAAAATTTATCAGAATCTCCCGTGTGTGAGTACAGCACTCCCCGGATACCCGCGGGTCACATCAGCTCGAGGTCGCCCTCTGTCAAGCGTAGCGCAAACTTAATGATACCTTCGTTATTACAAATTACTAACTGGAGTTGTTCTATTTTGATACGGATTTTCAAAGAAATCAACCCATACATTCTCATTAACAACGTCAGTTAACACACGCCGAGCGAGAATGCCATAACAATTCATCTCGCGTTTTAACCAGACAACCTCCGTTTTTACTAACGTCATTCAGATACAATTATACGATTCAATATCCATTCAAATGAAGTACTGGTGTTAAAGTTTTTATGATCATAATCCTGCTTCTCGGAAAAGTAAAATATGTTGTTGAAAACTCTGCCATGCCATCCTGTACAGACCCAATGGCGTCCATATCCTTGTTCAAAGGATGGTAAATACTCCCTGTAACAGTCGGACGGACATTGTTTTTATGTTCAATTTAAATGTAATGCTTTGCTGTTGTCCTTTTAAGATTTCTTTTTATTTTTTGATTTGTGTGAAATGGTTCAACTTCAATTTTTTTACAGAATAGATTGCAATAACATTTTTATCGTATCATATCGTATGTATACAGATATGCTTGTATCTCTTCGTATCGTAGAATAATTATAATTGTCTTCACTTATGTTGTTAATCATATTCCATGTTCAAGCGTTTTGTAACGATCTTTAATTAAGCCAATTAACACATCGTTAAAATAAAATTACCGCAATGTAGGCCTTAGGAAAATACTGTACAATTCAAGATATGAAACAAAGCTACTCCGCCTATGCTTTTATTTGCAGGAGTCAAAAAACTGAAGTTTGTCCATTTACAAACGCACAAGGAAGGACCCTCGACAATCGATTCCGCCGTTATACGCACCTCCAAGGCTATTACTCACATCAATAAGCTATTATTAGCATATACTAGATTAAAAACTCTTTTCAGTAATTAAAGTAGCCACCTTCATCTATCGCTCGTCATATTTTGCTATTGTACTATTATCCGTCACTTCATCTGAGCTAATCGGTGTACATTGATAACATTTCAATACCAAAGTTAATTAACCCAGAACCATTCTTTTCATATTTTTCCCCTTTCGTTAATTCATGCATTCAGCGTGAAAGAATAACATTTTGATATTGCTCGTCATATTGTAGTCTTGACAAAGCAGCCTCCACTGAAAATTAATCATAATCAATTCAAACCTAAGTAAATCACATCCACAAAAATCATCCCAAATTGTTCTTTTCCATATTTACCAGCGGACTGTGTTCTTGTGCAAAACATGCAGATGTATTGGATTATTCTTAATATTATTGTAGGCAGAATTATCCTAATTATTATTCTCATAACAAAACGATTAGATGAAGCAGTTCCCATTACAATACTATTATTATAACTAAATTAGGAAAAACGGAACAATGACGAGAAATGATTCTTAAATTAATGGGAAATTAATGTACTGTCAAAATCTGAAAAAACAAAAAAACACACTACAAATTTAGGACAATAACATAATACTGTACAAATCCTTTAAAAATATTTATTTTATTATACAGGTGAACAAATCAAGAGAAGAACAACATTATCAAAGTAAATTTAAAGCAAAACAAAATATTAATTAAAAATACTAATTATTAAACTCACTAGAATAAGAAGCAGGTCTAGATTTACATTTACATTTGCTCCTGGATTTGATCATAAAATGTGTTTTTGAAGCAATTTAAACAACATTCAGTGGAATTGAGGTAAGGTCTTGGAATAATTAATTCACCATCCCAAACTGCAGCCAGGGTAGATATAGAGTATGAGGGATAATTTGATATGTCAGCCGTAAAATTCTGCCGCATTATTATATCAGATTTCTATGCACACAACCTAATACATCAACAGTTGATCCAAAGGCTGGAGTATCCTGGAGTGAGTTGTGAAGGAAAGTTATAAATTTGTTTTATTCTCGAATTGAGTTTGGCTAATTATTCTTACACTTGCCGAGTGGATTTAACACATCAAATTATAAATTTTTTTTTAATCTATCACCTATCTTTAGAATTGTTTACCATTACAAACTCTTTTGTAAATATAAAACAATAAGGTTGTGATTCCTATCACGAATTCTTAAGCTTCCTCTCTACATAAGGACTGAGAAATTCCACATAAACTTTCTTTTGAGGTGATGAGGCAGGTACAAAGTGACCTAAACAATATAAAAAGTATGAAGTAAGTGAGCAAGGCATTGTGCATAAAGTGAATAATGCACAACTGAACAGAATAGGGTACCGTGCATGAAATTATAATGCACAACTCAAATGAATAAGGCACAGTGTATGGACTGAATAATGCACTACTCAATGGATTAAGGCACAGTGTATGGACTGAATAATGCACTACTCAATTGAATAAGGCACTGTGCATGAACTTAATCATGCACAACTCACCTGAATAAGGCACTGTGTATCAACTGAATAATGCACAACTCAACTGAATAAGGCACAGTGTATGGACTGAATAATGCACAACTCAACTGAATAAGGCACAGTGTATGGACTGAATAATGCACTACTCACATGAATAAGGCACTGTGTATCAACTGAATAATGCACTACTCACATGAATAAGGCACTGTGTATCAACTGAATAATGCACTACTCACATGAATAAGGCACTGTGTATCAACTGAATAATGCACTACTCACATAAATAAGGCACTGTGTATCAACTGAATAATTCACTACTCAAGTGAATACGGTATTGTGCATGAACTTAATAATGAACAACTCACATGAATTTAAGGCACTGTGCACAAACCGAATAATACACAACTCAAGCGAATAAGTCATTGTGCATGAACTTAATAGTGCACTACAATTCAAGCGAATAAGGCATTATTTTTGAAATACATCATAGGCCCAATGGAAATAAGTTTTTTTAAAGAATTTCTTTAGTAAGCCTAGGATTTTTTTTTTTGTTCATTGGTTTGGCTTTGCATATAGGAATGTGTTGACTTTTTATTTCAATTCCTGAATAAAATGAAATAAAACACTACACTTCAAGTAAATAAGTAGTCATCATCTTCATAAAGTACAAAGCACAAGGGAAGGGGTCACCAGTGTACCTTTTATGAAATTGAAAAAAAAGTGACCGAAAAATGTTAACAATCATCATTTATTATGTACTCATTTATGGGATGGGGGTGTCACAGAAAAGATTATGTTTTGTACTCTCTTGAATTTGATGAAAATATGGATGATCACTAAGGTACCAATCGCGAATGAATATACTCTACAACATGCTTTCATTCTAAAAATAGTACATTCTATTTTCCTCATCATTAAGTCACACCAGTACTTTCATTGAAATTGTCTAAAAGGGGAAATCGACTGAGGGGAAGGCAGCTGGGGGTAAAGTAAAACACGTAGATATGTCAATTACAGGTGATTTAGCACAAAGGTAGTTAATCATTAACTTCCTCAAGTTATTTCAATATTAAAAGTCTAAAATTATCTTGTATGAAGATAATCTGTAGCATCTAAGGTAGATACATATAGAAGGTCCATATTGTATTTAGGAAATGAAATGTTGCAATTATTAGAGCATACTGTAGTTTATTTATATTGATCTTCAATTTTTTTTTTTTTTTATTTCTTCGGGCAGTGCTCCATTTTTTTCTTTTTCGTCAAGTGTAGCTGCACCTTGGAATAGCCTGCTAGATAGATAGATCATTATAAGTGCTACAGTATATTATTTTTCTTTTCCTTGGCATAATTTGATTTTCAATGAGGTTGAATTTGATTGGATTGGTGAATTCAGACCAGTTTGCCCCAAAATCTTCTTCTGCATGTAGGGCAGCATATTAAAGAATATCTTTATGCAATTACACATGAACAAAATAACTGGTTACTAAAAGATACACTGTCTGTCCAAAAAAAAAGAAGAAAAAAATCAGAAAAACCTCAAAAATGCAACTTATAATTTAAAGATCATTTAAAAGTGTCAAGAAAGCATTCCACTTCCAACCATAAACCAGAAAGTATTCTATATGACTTGCATACAATAGTTACTGAGGCTTGCAATGGACTACTTGATCAGTTGGTGAATGCTATAATTACTTATCAAAAGAGAATGAATTAATTTGGCAAAACAAAATCTGTAAAAGCTTTATTTAGTATAGAAGGTAATTGAGTCTGAGAATGAAGGAAGTCTACAGGTACTATCCATGTATCCTTCAAAGTACAGTAAACCAATACCGCTCTACGCTAATGTAAACAAATAGTGAAATACTTACGGTCCAGACTGAATATAGTGTTCAAATTGTTAGTACATGTCGGTAATTACCCCATCTATCGGATTCCGTTAAAAAACTTGAAACACAGAGATCTCCGTGTTTGCCGGTCAAGCATTGCTTTATCAAACACAGAGATCTCTGTGTTTGGCGGGCAGAGTGTTAATAAAGAAGGTATAACAACCTACAGAGGCTGGGGAATAGACCTAAGTTTCGCCTCAGCTCTTTAGAAAAGAATTCTAGTCTTGCAGATAATTGAAATAAAAAATAATTTTAAAATTAGCATTCAATGAAATGCGCAAGGCACCCACCTCCAGAATGTCCGAGAGTTTGTGGTTCAACAAAATATTTCAGTAATTGTTCACTCATTTCTAAAAATAAAACAAAATCCACCATATTAATGTATAATTTATGCTGGTAAAATGTATTTTCTGGAACTACGTACAAAACCATAACATGCACTCCCTCTCAAACACACTGCCAACAAGTGGGCGGAGGGGGAGGGGAAGGGGTAGGGAATTTGTATTCTTTTTCTTAATTTAGTACATAACATTGATATGCACTGAAATTTAAAAGTTTTGTGTCAAAATGGGGAGAAGGGGCACATTCATCAGTTCCCCCTCCCCTAATTGGATCAGTGCCTGCAAATCATAATTTTTAAATACTATTATAGCATATAACTTTTAGGAAGGAAAAAAGTTTATTATTCATGATAAACTGTAGAGGGCGCTATATGCATTTTCATTGAAATGTGAATAGTGACATACTACAAAGACAGCTGTGGTTTATTTTTTGTAATAAAAAGTTTGATGAAAATTAAAAGAAATTATCTAATCAAGAAGAAAGGAATGAAATACTGGCTACATTTCTTACCTTTGGGTATAACATTATCGGTGTCACCAAATACATGTAATGTTGGAATGGTAATAGGTTGATCGTACAGTGAATCATGCATACTATTAAGACTTTTAAAACCAGCAACTAGAATGGCGAAATCAAAACTAAATCTTGAATCTGTTGAAAGGTCAAAAACAGAAATTACAATATAAGTAAGAAGTGTTAAAAATCAAAGAATAAATAAATTATTCAGGTAATTTCAATATGTTGAAATTTATTCTACCTTATTGGTATGTTTTATTCTAATTGTACTTGATAAAGTTATCAACAATAATCGACGAAAGCTAGCAGTAAGTTAACATCCATTGTGTTTGGATTATTAACAATCAAAACAGTTCTACAATAATAATATTAATAAAAATATACTCTTTTATGTAAAAGAAAAGATTTCAATAAAAAATACCAAAATATAAATTGCTGTTTTTCATTACTATTTAGTATTTAATTATGTCTTTGCTGGGTCTTACCTCCTTTACATTGTAATGAACATATAAAGGAGACCATAGACGCACCTTGGCTGAATCCTAGAATTCCTGCAATACAACCAACAAGAAAAAAATGAACCTTCTAATTAATCACATAGCAGCAAACATATCTCTCCACTCTTCTCTTAATCTTAAAAATGTTGCAGCTCAACATTTTGCAATTTTTATGTTTAGATATGAAGTACTGTATTCTACTTGTTATATGAAAAAAAAAAAGCTGGTAGCCCCTCCTGATATAATATAAGGTAATAAAAACTGAGTAAACATAAACATAAAAATTAATATAAAGCGCTATAAGTCAAGTTATGTTACTATTTCATTTTCATTTTTGAAATTTATTTTGATACTGAAGTATAAAATTATATATGTTAGACAATATTTGTTGTCTACCAACTCTTCACCGAGAAAATTGAATTACGAATTAAGAATTATTATTCATAATTGTGATGCTAATGTTATAGAAATCAAAATATATATAATTATCATTATTATATCTACAATTTCTACATGTGATAATGTTTAGGGAATGAACCAAATTTTAATATAAGATAATTGTGACTAACCATCAAAGGGACCATGCTCTTTGACTGCATCCACTACCACCTGCACAGACTCTTCATATCCTTCACAAAATGTACTATCTTCCCGAGCATTAAAGCATTGATTAGGCTTAGAAAACCACCAGCCTAGCTGATCAACTATATTAAGGTAATGATATCAACAACAAAAAAAAACAATAATACAACGATAATAAGTAGAAAAAAAGTAAAAATAATCTTTATACAGTACTTTCTAATGATGATATTGATAAAAAAAAATCATAAATGACTTGAAAATCAATGATTGTAAATGTAGTAATGTTAATAGTTTTCAGTTGCATGGCAAATGTTTCAATAGCAGTGCTTAATCAAGAGTATATTACCCTGTGTGTAACAAAATACTTTACGGTACCGGTTTACAACCCCTAATTATCAAATCAACTTGGTTGGCCTTCCCCTAATATACTATCTTCTGTTAATTGTGCATGCAGTTAAACACAAAAACTATGAACTGCAAAGATGCTGAATTTGAATAAAGTAGTAGTAGTAATTTCTTACCATTTTCATCATTGTCTGTTGAAGATATTGCATTTGGAGCATCAATGTACACTGAAAAAATTTAGAAGACCAAAGGTAAAGAAGTTGTTGATTTTCCCATTCACACACACACACACACACACACAAAACACATTTTTAAAAATGACATGAATATTCAGCATATTTTCTTTCTGTCTTACATTATGTATATTTTGGTATCCAGTACCATAAGTGAAGATGTTTTATCACTTTTGGTTTGGATTTTAAAAAGGAATTTTAAAACATGTTCAGTACTGTAAGGCTTACCAAATTCAGCCTGCTTTTTTAAAGCTTTTCTAAGTGAGCCGGTTTTTTCACGAAAGGCTTTTGCATTCTGCCTTAAAAAAAAAAGAAGATTTTTATGAATAAAATAGATAAACAAATAGTTTATAGTACATATAGCATAAGTTCAAAGTATGAATATCACTATTAAAATGAAACAATTAGTAATGTATGGATTTGGCTTGACTCCCTAATATCAATACTGGTACTGTAATTTTGTAAATTTTTTTTAGAGTTTTTCTTACAGGTTTTATGAAAATAAAAAAACACCAGATTCAATAAAGAATGACGAAAAAATAATGACAGCCAGTGATTGGAGTAAGTCAACAGTAAGAGAGCAGCTTATTAGCTCAGTAGACTAACTACTGGTAGCCACTGTGTGTGAGCTGAACCTTTTTTACATAGCCTTGAGTTCAATTCACATTGCTACTCTTTGTGTTTCAGCTGGAAGGCTGAAATGCAAATGTTAATAGTGCACCATCTTTCATATAGAGACGTTCAAGCCGTTGGCCCTGTCTGCAAGATGGTTCATGTGCAAATTAAAAAAAACGGTATACAACTCATTCCTTGTTTTTTTGTTTTTTTTTAAATCAACAAACAACATATTTATTTATTTATTAAAATTCTCATTCAACAGCGGGAAACCTGCCACTTACAGAATAGAACTTAAAACTACAGTAAGAAAAATAAAATTTCAAATCATTTTCACAAGTCGAAAAAAAAAATAAATAGATTCTGTTAGTATAATGTTCAAAATTATCAAAAAATAAATCAATAGAATTGTCTTTATCAACACAAAAATAATAATGTACACAAATTATATATGTCTCACTTTTCAAGATAAAATATTGTATTTACAGCTTACCTGTAGCCATGGATACACAAAATCTGGAGAAATAAAATATAATTCTTAACATTTTCACATTAAAAAATATGCAAACTATGAGAACCCACACAGACCTATGCTAAATATATTTGGAGTGAATTAAAGTCTCTCCGACGCATTGGTGAGCTTTTAATTTGGGCAACAATGCAACGCTGGAATGGATTCACTCATGCATGACAATCCCACATTTTCCGCACACCGCAGATTTGATAAATTGCGTCCAAGAGTCCATGTGACGAAAAGTTCTTGCATGCGTAGATAGATGACTTTTTAGTGACGTTTAATTATGTTCTACTTGTACTTATTTTTATCTTTGTAATAATGGGTTTTGATGTACTGTACAGCGCTTTGATCTTTTTTTCTAAAGGCGCTATATAAATGCTTTTTAATAATAATAAATAATAATAAGGTGTCATATCATGGAGATCTCTATGATTATATCAGGGAGTTGTTATAGTATCCCAAGCAATATTTACCTTCAGTAAATTGTTCGCAGTCCCTGCTGCTCCTCCTGACATTTTTGCTGAAAAATTTAAACATTACAAACCAAAATGAATACTACTGTTTAAAGTTTAGGCCAGGCTTATGTAACCCTAACCTGCCTATTTTCCATTGTTAGAGAGGATTTACTGAATTGAGACAGGAGTTTCTTTCTGCCCAGCTCCTCTACTGACTGACTGACCTTCCTAGCTTTAGCTAGCTAAATTTCCTTTCTCTATGGCTAGGCCAAGTCTGAGGACCCCCTACTGTGTACTCAACCTACCCAGTCAGGCCTGAGCCTCCTGCCTACTAGCTAGGCCCCAGCCTAGGTAGGCCCAGGGCCCCTAGCTAGGCCTGTCTGTAGGTAGGCCTAGGTAGGGAGGCTACTAGGCCTATTTATACTAGGCCCTAGGCCTACTACCACCACCACTCACTAGTAATAATAAGCCAAGGCCTGACCAGCCGATATCGAAAGCTATCTTCACCCACATTAATTGCTGTTTGTACCTTCGCTGTTTTTTCGATCCCCGCAATTCCCCCTTGCGCTATGTGTACGGTTGCGGTTTGGGTAGTTAACTTGACACGGACAGTTATCATCTATTTGTACCTCAGATGATGCAATCGATGAAGTACGCCACCAACGTATGAAAAGGAAAGTCAAGGAGGGTGCCATGTGTTTCCACTTGGTTTCCAGAACAACAACAGTAAACGTATGGTGCTGTTAATACGTTATTAATGTAACATCAGGGAGGTTTATCACCTTTGTTTAAAAAAATATATCCCATAGGCACCATGAGTCTAGGATTTCTTGGAGCTGGGAGGATCGCTCAAGCACTAGCTCGAGGGTTCATCTCTGCAGGTAGGTAGAGACGCACTGATGATCCAGACAAAAACTAGACTGCATTGGTTGACGGGAAGATTTTCTAGTTCCGACAGCAGAGTTGTTTTTGTTTCTTTTTAGGGAAGGGGCACGGGCTAGCCTAGTGCCTTTTAAAGTCGGTGCCCGGGTTTAAAAGTACTGGCCATTCAGAAAGAATCTCTTGCAAACCAAGTGCAATTAATATCCAATATTTCCAATCGGATCGTGCTCAACATGCATACTCCGTTGGTCTGATCATGCACAAGTACAGCAGGCCTAAAAACACTACACACAGGTTGTGGACGTGGCACACGTACAGATCCATATCCCTGGTGACAGACTTAACAACTTCCGAACAGCTGCTTTGTCACTTGTTTTGTATGGCCTGTACTGTTCTGTACTGTTTTGGTAGGACTAGGAGTGCACTTGGCCTATTTATGGCTTAGTTAGGTGTACAGTGCATTAATACTATACTAAGTATGCAGTTGTTTAAACAAACATGTTGTTTCAAACGGTTATAACTTTGTAAACTATTAAATGCTTGGATCAGCCTTGGATCTGGATATGAAAATATAGGCTAGGAAAATCAAACCGTATGCAACTTTTACATTGATTTTCCAAGTAGGTTGATTAAATTATGCATTGATTGATGTAACTTTATTCCCTGGTGATGCATATTTATTACGCCGTGGCTAGAGATACTGTACCGTATCGGAACTTCCGATTGCTAAAGGTACGGTAAATGATATTACGTCATGATTAGCCAATAGAAACGCCGATACATGCGTGACGTAATTCAGTGCACTGCTGCTGAAGAGTAATGAGTGTGTGTTTTAGCAACGATCGAAGATTCGTTCGTTCGCGGGTGTTGTTGTTAAGCTGTGATTAATATTCTGTAGCCTGAGGCCCTAAAGCAAATAAAAAGGATAGCAGTTTTGCTAGATTTGGCGACATCAAGCGAAAATAAACTATTTTAATAGTAGAAGCCAGGCCTAGGCCTTAACTACTCCTGAAACCTCCTAAGCCTAGCCTAGTAGTACGCCTATAAGTATGCCCTACTAGGCGGGTATTCGGGCTAGGCCCTACTAGGCCTAAGCCTAGCCTTAGTAGACCATTCTCTATGGTAGACCATAAAATACGCAAGAATAACAGAAAGGATTTTTAACCCAAACATTGTGAAGCCCCAATCGAAATACATGAAATGGGCCTGAAGTTTTATGACATAAATTTGATCGTAACTGTTCGCGCCACGTTTCTCATGATCGCGAGGTCGACTTCGCAAAAAAGCCAAAATCGAGTCAGTCATTACTATTGGCTAATCATGACGTAATATCATTTACCGTACCTTTAGCATTCGGAAGTTCTGATACGGTACCGTATCTCTAGCCACGGCGTATTTATTATGTACACTATTTATTTAAGTACTGGGTTTATTGTTGAGAAGGTTTTTTTCACGGGAGATGTTTATTTTTTTGGTGTAAAATGGATACGTATACTGAAATGAACGCCCCTTAATTTCACTGTGAAACTTTACAACACAAAATTAACATAGAAATAATTTAAAAAAATAAAAGACAGAGACCCAATACATTCCAATCAAGATGATCTCAGCTGAGAAATTTAATAAAAAATAATAAAATTAGTTTACTGATAATACTGTATATTCTTGTGTAGAAGTCGTGGCTTAGAATAGCAAATTATGATTTTAAAAAAAAACCGGGGGTCGTCTGATACTCGCAATATAAAGTTTTTTGAATTTTAAAATCATGTTTGTCTTATGTGCAGATAAATTGTCCACAACATGCGAATTTACTACTGAAATGACGCTATCAATTGTTAATGGTTGCCATGTATGCTTGACGAGCCAGAAATGAATGCCATATGTCAAGATTTGAATGCCAAATGCAGGCTTTGGTCCCAGTAGATCGTTTCGAAAGGAGAAATTCCGACGATGGAACAAGGGTTGTCTTATACGCCTAAATCATCCAAAATTCTTCTTGAACTCGGGGTCGTCTTATACACAGATCGCCTTATACGCAAGAATACGGTAAATCACAATCTAGAAAATGCTATATAAGTTGGTATAACAATAATTTCATTTTATCCTCCATGGTGTGTTAAGACACACAAGTTCTCATTATGAATCTATGTACTTGAGAAATTTTGCTCATTTTCAACAAAGTTTTATGGAAACTTGTTCCTTTTCCTGGAATTAAGATTTTTCTGTGGAATACCCTACATCCAACAGACCACTTTATTTAAACACTTATGCCCTCTTAAAAGTTCACCTCTTTAAACAATATCTTTCTTAAATTCCTGGCTTTCATTTTTATTGTTAAGCGCATTGAGGCTTTAGAAAAATGTGCTATCAAGGTTAAATTATTATTATTATTATTATTATTATTATTTATTATCATATTATTATTATTATTATTATTAATATCATTATTACTGTTATTATTATTGCATCCTCTCTTATTTATTTTTTATTTGGATTGTAGCTGAAACCTGAGTCAACCTATGTTAGTACCATATAACTGAAAGGGAATGTGCTATCAAGGTTAAATTATTATTATTATTAATTATTATTATTATTAATTATTATTATTATTTATTATATTATTATTATTATTATTATTATTATTATTATTAATATCATTATTACTGTTATTATTATTGCATCCTCTCTTATTTATTTTTTCTTTGGATTGTAGCTGAAACCTGAGTCAACCTATGTAGTACCATATAACTGAAAGGGAATGCACACAATGCCAAGATTTGACTATCATTCCAAGAAAGCTGTTCTGATAATAATTTATTATCAAAATTGATTTAGGAAAAAAATCTGAAAACAAATGAAATAATGTTACTTCTGAAGAGGTAAAAATAATTAAATGCAAAAGAAATCTCTCATTCTCCATCATCATCATTTAACTAAAATTTACCATAGTGCCTAATGTTATTTGTAAAAAGTCATCATGCCATTTCTTCTTAACGTGTTCTGTCTTTCGACATTATGCTTTCCACAATTTGTTTCCATTTGTTTCTAATGCCATACAATAGGCCAAAAATGTAGATTGTAATTTCAAATGTAAAATTAATTGTCCACAGTGAAAAGAAAATTATTGCCACCCAGCCTTGAAGTTTTCCACCCAGTCTAAAGTTAATTTCATGGGCCATCACCTACACTTAATAACCCACTTTGCCATCCTTAAAATCCACTCTTACCAATATTATCACCCACCCACCCTTAAAATGTGAGGTCTCACCACGAAATGAGACGCATCGTTGGTGAAATCATTTTGAGATAATCACCAAAATAGGCCAAAGTCAAAATTTTTACACAATTTTGACTTTAATGTTTTTTGATAACTTGATATTTATATTTAATGATTGTATACTTTTTAAGTGAATTTTCTTACTAAAACAGTGTTCTTTGCGCATATTCTGTAATTCTAGTCCTATTATTTATATAGGTTAGTTTATCTTGGAGGCCGATTTTCTCAAAATGTGGTTCTTTTTGATCTCTTTATTTATTATCTGTCAATGGTAGCAGAGCGAGATGGAAAATTTCCACAATTCTCCGAAACTCCAAAATAACAATTACGATAAGTTGGAAGAGAGATTTAGAGCTATGGAGTCGAGTCACGAAAATGTTGAAGAACAGACAGGCCCTGGCGGTGTGCTTGATGCTGGACGGAAAGTACAAGCAGGCGAGTGAGGAGCTCAGTATAGAGGAGCTGAATGTAGACGTTGGGCTGAAAATCCTAACGGATCATAAGTTAGACAGCATCTTTCAGAAAGAGGTGAAAACTCGTATGTATGATGCATATTTGAGTTTTGAAAACATAGAGTGGAAGACTGACAGCATAAATGATTATATTATTGAGTTCGACTCAGCATATGCAAAAGTGAAGACTTTAAACATGGATTTGCCTGAACCAGTCCTAGCTTTAAGGCTATTGGAAAGAGCAAGAATAAATGAGAACCAATGCCAACTATCATTGTCTGCATGTACAGATTTAAATTTTGCTGAAACGAAAGGTGTTTTGGCTCGTATCTTTGGAGGTACTGACTTGCCACTGGCTATGAAGCATAGGCCTAGGCCTACAGATGAGGACGCGATTAAAGAAAGAAGAAGTTATGTTTGAGTCGTTTCGTCGACCTATGTACAATAATAGCTATAGGCCTAAGCCAAAATACCGTGAAGATGACAAACCAGTCAGGAAACAGAATCCCCTAAATAGATTTGGAAAAGCAACTCGTTGCAGAGTATGCCAGTCTATAATGCATTATGAAAGACATTGTCCACATAAAGAAGAATGCATAATGACAGAACAACAAGGAGCAAGCTAGGGTGAGTTGGATGTTTCGATATCACTATTGCTCGAAAGTGAAGTACTTTTCACAGAAATTGCCACATGTGCAATTTTGGACACTGCATGCACAAAAACAGTATGTGGAAAACAGTGGCTGGATAATTTTTCTGCCTTGGGTGGAAAAATTTTGTCTTCTCAAATTAGTAAATTTGGGTATGGTCCCAAAGTAACATCAACACAGAAGGTTGTGATAGCTGCAAAACTTGGTTCAAATAAATGTACTAAATTGAGATAGAGGTAATACCTGTAGAGATACCAGCTGCTTCTTAGTAAAAGTGCACTCAAAAAGGCAGGTTGTAAAATGAATTCAATTGATGATGTTGCAACATTTTTTGGTGAGAATATTGCACTGAAACTTACTCCAGCAGGACACTATTGTGTTGATGTGCTAGATTCTAATGATGAAGATATTTTTGAAGTTTACACAAGCACAGTTTTTGACAATTGTAGTGTAAAAGACAGGAAGCAGAAGCTTCAGAAGTTACATTTTCAGTTTGGACAATGCTTCCACAAATAAGTTAACTCAATGGCTGAAATCAGCTGGGATTAATGATAAAGGAATATTTATGGTTTTGCAGGAAGTGATCGAGAACTGTGAGATTTGTAAGAAGCTAAAAAGAACACCACCAAAACCAGCAGTTGGACTGTCATGGGCAAGGGACTTTAATGAAACAGTTGCTGTTGACCTACATTAGTTAGATAAAAGTTTATGGTATTTACATATTATTGATGAATATAGTAGGTTCAGTGCAGGTTGTATTGTTAATAATAAAGAACCTAAAACATTTGTTAACATGTTTATAAAGCACTGGATAGGTATTCATGGAGCTCCCAAGAGAATGATAAGTGATAATGGGGGTGAATTTGACAACTTGTTGGTTAAGGACATGGGAGAAAATTTTAATATTGAGATTGTAACTACTGCTTCTTATAGCCCTTGGTCTAATGGTACAGTATCTGTGAGAAACATAATGGTGTATTAACTGAGATACTAATGAAACTAAAGAAAGTCATAATTATGACTGGGAAACCTCGCTCTGCTACCATTGACAGATAATAAATAAAGAGATCATATGAAAAACTGTTGCTCAACTATTTATTCACTTTCACCCACCGAGACCATGACCGTCGAGTGCCGGCCTGCCAAAAAGGATCATGTGAATAAAACTCTGACCTCGGGTCAGATAAACATAAACATTATCACTTTTACACATAATATTTAAATGCTCACATCTCTGGATCTACATATCCTAGTGAAGCCATTCAAAGACCAAATTAAAGCCTATAATGTGATCTACCCAAATATAATATAAACTCAATTTTTGATATTCTAACCATGAGACTCATTTTGTGGTGAGGCCTCACAAATGTCTGTCACAAACCCTTTAGTTTTCTACAGCTGCAACCATGCTAGCCTGCAACATTTAAATATAATTACCGGTGCAGCTTGGTTTTAAACAGTATAGTAGCTCAATGTTAGAATTGTTCATATTAAAACAAACAATACTGTATACACACACACATATTCTAAGGCAGATGAAATTATTCCAACTGGTTTATATGATTTCTCACTCACTACAGCATTTTTTTTTTCTATGTCATCAGTTAATTCAGTTCACTTGGATTTTCCATTCTCAGTATTATTGCCTTGGCCAACTTTCAAGTTTGTCTTTAATTGTCACGTAAATGTTATGCATGAAATTCTTTTTCCACGGTTTAACATACATATAAATGAACTTAAATCTAATAATTAAAGGCTGTTAAAATACAGGATACAAAATAGTTAATATAAAAAATGTAGAGTGATAGAAAGCCAAGCTTGTGAAGCCTATGGTATGAGTCAGTCCCAAGCGTCAATAGCTGTTTACGAGTTGCCAAATTCTGTCGAGAAAAATCAGAATAAACTATGTAAATAAATAAAAGGTGTACATAAAAAATTTGCAAAATTTAACATAAAAAACAAGATGAAAAAATTTAACCTTGGTAGTCGCCTTCTATGTAGCGCCCTCCTGTATATTCCTCGGATTGTTGCATGCCATTATGCTCATAGATAATAAATACTAATGGTATTTAATGCTTATAATTAACATCTCAATGAGATTTGATTGACAGATAAACCAACTAATCAGCGAGCGTCATTTAGTCACATGATCAAAAACTTTTTCTTGGACATTTTAATTTCATTAGACAGATGGTTTAAACCCGAAACATATACGTGAGCCTAGGCCTAGATGTCTATGCATGGTTATAGATACCCAGAGATTTACACGAGCAGTGCGCATCAGTGGCTTGGCCTTTGCCGACAACAAAGTTGACTGAATGCAGCTTTTCCCTCTTCCTTTGGGAGCGAAATACAGAGGCTTTTACAACAATTTCCCTGCCATGTTCCATGAAATAGATTAACACTATGAATGTATGATTCATTTGCATACCGCCTACCCTGAATTCTCTTTCTTAAAGAAGGTTGATAGCAAAGAAAATCTTCGCCAACTCGGTAAATCTAGCTGCCATTGTCTAAGGTTTTCGTGAATTTGTTGGCGGGGCTTCGCGTCCTTGTCGACATGTCAATTACATTATAAAAATACTAGTGATGCTACCATGAATTATGAATAGTTTTAAACTTTAACTTGCTTCCAGGAGTGATGCCTGCAGAGAGAATGATGGCCAGTGCTCCTACAGAAAGAGATTTATTAGAAGTAAAGGTGAAGTACAAATAATTTTGTATCATTTTACAATCATATAATTTACAACTTAGGAGGGATTTAAATTCATTTTTATAGTGGTCACATACTGTACAGTATATTAAATGGGTGAATGTTGGTTGAAAATGTCTTACAGTATTAATACAATTTTGATTTAAGAAACTTGTAGATGACTGGAAAGGCTACTCTCGGGTTGTATTTTCTTGGTAAAAAAATATTCTTTTGTCGATTGATCTTGACATAATGAAGTGAAGTAGGGTCAGCCTTGCCTAAATGTTTAAAATGTAGTGACTGAGTAACCATTTGATATTAAACACTAAGCAATTGTAGTCTATCTATTCAAGGAATATACATTTAAGTAGTATCATAATGCAAGATCTTTTTAATTGGCAAGTTTCAGTTTTCAAATACAAGCTGATAAATTATTTAAAGCTATTGTTTAAGTTTGTTTGCTCAATATGGAAATTTCTCATGATTTAAATATATCTTGGAAATTTGAACAAATAAAATATTGTAAAACACTGTGCAAACATCTTGTTTTGTAGGTTTAATCAAAGGTGTAAATATGTTTATGCAAAAAGCTCTATAAATATCTTGTTTTTAAGCTTTAGTAAATATGTTTTAATAAATAGATTCATTATTATTCTAGTTCTTCAAAATCTACAATATTTGACATTTAACATGAAAAAAATAATTATTTATAGATAAAGCGATTGCTCTTGATGACTGAAGAATAAGTGGCTTTTTAAGTTATACAGTAATATTTAGAGCAAACCAAAAGCATTATTTAAACTTCTAATTACTTTTTAGGATTTAAACATTTAACACTTGGTTAAATTTATTTCCTGAACATTAAATTGGTTTATTCAATGATTGTGCCATTTACATGTCAATGTTATGTCAACCTTAAATGCACCACATACAGTACTCGCACAATATATATATATATATACGTTTAAAGAATAAGATTAATGAAATAAAAGTAATTTCAATTTTTTTTTTTCAACCAGAAAATTGGACTTGGTATTACACATGAAAACAAGGAGATATTGCATTCCTCTGACATCATTTTCTTGGCAGTGAAGCCAGGTGTTGTCTCTAACGTACTGACAGAGATTGCTCCATGGGTCAACAGTGACCATCTGGTGGTATCACTAGCAGCAGGCATTACGATTGACTTCATTGAGAAAGTAAGGACTTAATTTGGAGTAATCCCTTCCTGTTACTGTTTATTTACTTGTACTGGTATGCATTTATAATACACCGCTTCCTTGAGGTTATAAAGTGCAGTTCTATTCCCTGGTCATAAGGACCTCGTGTTTTAGCGCAGGAGCAGGCAACCCCACCAGGTACCCATTTATACTCAAGGGTAGAGAGAAGCAATGCAGATAAAGTGCCTTGCTCAAGGACACAAGCAAAATGCACAGCGAGAGATTGAAAAAACCCTAACCTTGAGGTTGGGAAGCCAAACACTTCTTCCCACTGCACCAAACGGCATTGCACAGTCTGTGTCTTTGACTGGAGGGCTAAATACAAGATAAGGCAGTTTAGAGTACTCTCTTTGAAGAGACATTTAAAGCTGTTTGCCCTGCACGCTTTATGAAGATTGTACCACGATTTTTTACCATGCACATATGTTATTCGACACAAGGTGGTGTGTTATTGAAACTTGAATTTCAACTAACCAGCCGAAACAACACAAGGAGAGCAGTAGAATCGGCAACCGATGTTATGTAAAGATCTAAAGGGTGCATCGTAGACATGATGATACAAATCAATCAGAAAGGCTTCACTGTTCGACCAAGAAATCATTGCCAACGTCCTGCATTGAGACTGTGTACTATTTTATTGAAACGAGTCTTAAGCTGATTTACCTATAAAGCTGCTCTTTTCTATTAATGTTGAGATAAAATTTATTTTGATAATTAAAAAATTAAAAGGAATTACAATTTTGATTTATTGATTGATTGATTGATTGCTTTTCAGAAACTACCATCATCCACAAAAGTGATTCGAGCCATGCCGAACACCCCATGTCTAGTCGGGGCAGGGGCAACGATGTTCAGTTGTGGTGGAAATGTTCAGGATCGTGATCGAGCCATTGTCAACACTTTCTTCTCAAGCTTAGGTTACTGCGCAGAAGGAGATGAAAGTCTTATCGATGCTTGCATGGCCATCAGTGGAAGTGGCCCAGCATTTGTAAGTGTCGATTTTGATGGCGGGAGAGGTGGCAATGGTGGTGGATAGTAATTAAGATAAAGATGTTGAGGATGATAATAGTAATGATAATAAATTTTATATAAATTTTATATTAAAATGTAATGGTAAATTAAGCACAGTTGACAGAGTAGTTTTGATTTAAGCTCTCATCCGAAAGGATCAGAGGTTGAAACCATGGCTGTGCATTTTTTTTGTTTCTGACACCAATTTGCTGATTGTTGATACAGTATTATGCTAGTTTCCATAGGCGATTGTCCTATGATGTTGTGGAGAAGTAGCTTGGTGGAGATGTAGCTTGGTGGTTAAGATGGTTGCCTTCCAACCAAGGGTCCTGGGTTTAAATTCTTTGACAGCATAGGATTTTTTCTCACGACTAAGAACGAGGCCACTGCCTAAGCCTCATTAGAGAGACTTAGCTGATAAAGCATCACATTATTTCATTTATTTAAGAGGGCCACTGTGCATCAGGATATGCTGAAAGGGTTATTCTCTATAAATATGGGTTTTTTTTAATGGTGAGGTAATGTTAGATTCACCTAAGAATCATGACATTATGTAGCTATGAATCTGCCACTTTTATTAAAGATGCCAAATGGACTAATCTATAAATAACCTACAAACAAAGAATACCAATCTAATTGGAGCGAATAAGCAAGCCAGCCTCACATGCTCTCTTTGCCTTCACTTCAAGACCCAGAGTGAGTCCTTGGTAGTACAGATCTCAGCCTCTAATTAATGATAATATCACTCAGCCACTAATTAATAATAATATATCTGCATAGCCTTTTCATATTCATGCTTTGTCACTACTTAAAAAATGTATAAGCTCTATAGTATGATTTTTGTTTTCTTGCAGGCTTTTACTGCCATAGATGGATTAGCTGATGGTGGAGTTAAGATGGGATTGCCAAGATCTTTAGCAATAACGCTTGCTGCCCAAACATTACTTGTAAGTTTATTACAATTTCATATTAATCAGTCTTTGCTTGAAACCTGACTAATGATTAAAAGTTTATGTTTAAGAAATTCATTAAAAACAAAATTAATTGTTCTGGACAATAATTTTTAGATTGCTATAGTAAATTTTATTTTGTAGTATTATACTTATATAATTTATAATTTAAAGAAAGGCAAAAAACAGTTTTAGTTGTAGTGGATATAAAAGTGATATAGTGACATTTATGATACTGATGATATATGCAGTAGAATATAATGTTAATGTAATTGGATACCAAATCAAGTTTTTTCTATCTCTTTCTTATAGGGAGCAGCCAAGATGCTTCTGGAAACAAAGTGTCATCCCTGCGAACTAAAAGATGATGTCTGCTCCCCAGCTGGAACAACAATTGAATCTATCTACCAATTAGAGAAAGGTGGATTCCGAAAGTGCCTTATAGAAGCAGTTGAGGCCTCATATAAGAGGGCAAAGGAAATTCAAGCCATTGCTAAAGAAATCTGATCCATTTTCATCTTTTGTAATATTAATCCTACTGCCACTTGCTTCTGTAATAATCCTTTCGGAACAAGAACTTATATGTGTACCAGGGTAGGAAGCTTGCTGATCTTGCACTGCACGCCTAACTGGGATCTTTGGTCTCTTTTATTTATTTATTTATTTATTGCACATCCAACAGTGTATACACCAATTACAGGATGAAAATATAAAGTATAAAATATAAAAACTTACACAATATCAATGGAAACCTAAAGTTATTTTAAAATATAATAAGATTATTTTACAGACTCAAATGTGATAGACTTAAACTACAATGAAAAATATCAAATTCAGGATTATTACAAACACAATTATTATAAAACAAAGACAGTCTACAAAAAATACTATTTTTACAAACATTAACACGTGAGAATTGTACATTTAAAATAGGCTTAGAACGAAGTCTACGAACAGGGACATTAAGATAGAAATTAGAAACAATATTACAGGTAAACATTGAATTTAAACACTTATATAAAAAAGTAGGTCATTAATTTGTCTTGTAATTTTTGAGAAATAATAGGAGTTTGGCAAGGCCAACAGGTTTCTGGGCCGAGAAAACGTAAAAACTTACCATGGACTCTTTCAATTCTAGATGATTGTGTGTCAGATATGGAATTATAGATAACTGAACAAAAATCAAATAAAGGTTGGATAAGAGATTTATAAAGTGCAATTTTTGTGGTTGGAGGAAATTTATGACAACACATGAGCCCAAGTAACCTGTTGGCCTTGCCAACGACATGGTCAACATGAAAAGCAAACATTAGTTTTGTCAATAAAAATGCCTAAGTCTCAATGCCATTCAACATTTTCAAGTGGCTCGTTAGAAATCATGTATTTAAAATTAATTTTAAGAGGCCACTTTAGGCAAAGTGGCCTCTTTTAGGCAAAGTGGCCTGTCTTCTGTAAACTTGCACATCACAAACCTTGTACTTTATTTATAGTATGCAAAAAACAGGAAACTACTAAAATTTTGAAAACCTAATTATCCAGTCCTTAATTATAACCCATATATTTACTATATACCTATATATCATGAAATATATTGCTCACAAATGGTAATATTTGTTTATTTTTCATACCTATCTTTGTGTAACACAGCAAAGATACAATTTATCCCATCATGCTTTTCTCAGTATAACTTCTGAGCATGTGCAGACCTCTCCTAAAGAGACAGAGATTCTAGTCTGGTGTGCAGAGTGAGGTCAGCGAGCTTCCTATTCTGGTACACATAATAAGTCCTTGCTCTGAATGAGTTATCAGAAGTCCTCTTAATAATAGTGCATGCGACTCTTTGTGTTTATGTAAATAGGTGCTCTCTCCCGCAGTCTCTTGCACTTCCATGAGCAATACAAATTCCTCCCGAAACTAACCCATCTCCCATAAATTAAGATTGTTTGTGTCTTTTTACTACTGTTGAATCGTCTTCCAGAGTTAACTTGTCATGGGTATCACCATGTGTACCAAATATCTAACATGTGTTAAGAAAGCTTAATATTAACCAGGAAATAAAACAGATCCTCTAAAGTTGGTTCCCCTAATTTGGGACCTCTGACTTTATGGTAAATGAGGGTTTTATTGCTTTTATGGTTTAAAACCATTTAATTCAGGATGGTAATTTATCTTTATAAATTATGACAATCAGCACAATTCATATATAAGTGTTTTTTTTTCATTTATAACAGGCCTCTTATCGATTATGTAACCTTTTTTTTGTATTCAACATCTAACTGGGTATAGTATTTCATATTAATATACGAAAAAAACCTTTAAATTGTTGACCAATCAAATGTCTTTATTCCCCTTTTTTATATTTGCCTGTTAAAGAAAGCACTTCTTTTCAAATAATTATGTTTCTTTTATATATGTATATTTCTTTCTGTTTTTATTTATTTAATTTTTGACAATAATTTATTTTTGGGTATTTATACTTGTAAGCTTAAAGTATTTATTATTTTTTTCCTGATATAATTTCTGCTTTTAACTAAATATACATTGCTGTATGTTTTGGGACATCATTTAATTTAATACAAATGAAATACAGTAGCACCTTCTTTAGACTGATAAAGCTAGTGAAAGCTTGTGTCTCAATTAAAATGTGTTAGTCTGAAGGTGTACTTATATCATGCTGTTGACTAATACAGCTCTAAATTTTGTATTTAATTGCTCGTTGCATAAACATTATATAACAATCAAATTTACTACTAATTTTCATCAAAACGATTTGTGTAGCAGAAAGTTTTTATTAATATCAACATATATTTAATTGTTTTGATTTTTCTCATTTGAAATGTTTTTTTTTTTTTTTTTTTTTTTTGTGGTTATACCTCAAATGGTAGATTGTATAAAGTTTTACATGATCATGAATATTTAAATTTAAGTAAAAGCGCCATACAAATAATAACATAATTTTTAGCCTACATTCGTTATATTTATATAACAATTATATAGAATTTAAGTACATTAATTACTGCATATATAGCATGTCACTGCATTCAATTCACGTTGCCAGTGGAATTAACATTGCTACATATGTATTTGTGTATTGCATCAACTAACACTAAAACACAGAATTACAGAAAAGGCTTGGAAGAACAATATTGTATCGTTGACATACCAAGTACATTAGGTTATTTTAATCATTTAAGTAACTAAACATGCAAGAAGCCAATTCACAGTTTAAACTACGAATATTGGCTTATACCTTGCTCAACATCCTGAAGGCCGGTGTGGACTGTGGACAAAATGATTTCCTTAAGAAAATCATAAAACTAATATCTGATGACTAGTCCTTCTGCTAGCATTTAATAGTGTGCCTTTATTTCTTACTCTATTAACTGGTCTTTCGTAGACTCTCTGCTTTATTTATACTAGAGGTGAAATTAACCAGAAAACATTACTTGAACCAGAGTTTTAAAATGCTGAAAGCGGAGCGGAAATTGTAGACAATGATGACAGTCAAGTAAATGTCCAATTACTGATTCTCGATTTGTTTTCGAATTTCAGTTTCGAATAAATATTCAATTTTAAAACAGATTTGAATGTGAAACGTTTTATTAATTGATTTTTCTATAAATATGCATTACATTTTAATTTGGTTTTCGAATGTTTTTTTCTAAATATTTTCAAACTACAAATTGCAATTAATTGTCAATTTGCACTCCTTTGGTGTAAAACTAACGAGTTGCTTTCTGAGACCAACATAGACTGGGGCCCTTTTTGGGAAGTCACCACTTATGTGATATGCTCTTTTTTTAAATCATGTTTGCCATCGTATTCTAAATGTTTTTAACAGGCTCTTTTTGGGCAGTCACCAATTCCGTTGGGGGATTTTACATGTAGGCCTACTCATATTTGATGATATCGGCGGTTGATCCAAGAATTTGATTGGGAAAGAATAACGGAGCAAATAGAGATTTTCACAAATGGAGGGTCTAAGAAAATTAATTATTATGGCACCTCTCTAGATGGCTGGAAATTGCACTCACAAAATTTCTCCATTTTAAAAACATGATGAAAAATTTATGGGGCCCCTGGGCCGGCAAGGCCCCCTTTAATTCGGCACTAGATAAAGACAATATAATATATATGTCTTACAATCGATGTTAGAGACACATTCTGTACTTATATATCAACAAAACCCTTTTGAGTCAAGGTGCTGATCGAGGACCTTATGGATGGGGCACTTCGAGAGCGCATAGGCGTTACGCCACTGCTTCTTAATTCACTAATTATTTAATTTCTAAATATGATCTCTAAGGCAGCAATAGCTTGTTTGAATTTGTTTTAGCTAATCTGAAGTTCGTAAAATGCATTTCAGTAACTGTGTCCTAACATTTCGCTTTCTTATTTTCATATTGATAAACACATGATTTCAAGTAATATTTCATTTTCCAACCTGTCTTCATTGACTGAACTTGGAAACTAAAAAAGTAAAGAAACGAAGTTTTAACTTGTTAAACGATGAGTAAAAAACAGCCTATATCCATCCATAGGGGGAAACCTTAACAATGGAAAGGGTTAAAAGCAGTACCCTTAGGCGAATGAGTGTCGTTGAGGGGAAACTTAAACGACGTTAAGAGGAAATCATACACGAAAGAATTTCCCCTTAAGAGCCGAATAAAGGTATGTATAATATATTTGTTTATATACATATATATAGGAATGTGTATAAAAGAATTATACTTCTCTTTCGTTTAAGTGATACTGAACTAGCAATAATGAAATAAAATTAATTGCTCCTGATTCGTTATATTTATACACTTACCTGAAATTTAAGTACATCGGCATTCGATCTATGTTGCCATCGAGATTTACATTACCACATTGGTATTGTGTATTGCAATCAACACTAAAACACTGAATTTCGCAAAAGGCTTGGTAGAAAAATATTGCATTGTTTGAATACGAAATATTCCGGGTTATTTTAATCATTTCAGTAACTGGACATGCAATAAGCCAATTCGAATTTGTTAACTGCGCATGCCCGTATCCAAGGTCAATGGACATAAACCTACAGTGTTGTGTGTATGTTTGTTTATGTCGATTGACTTTGATGTGGTCATGCACAGTTCAAACTACCAATTCGCTTATACCTTGCTCAGCATCCTGAATGCCGGTGTGGACTGGACAAAATAATTTTCTGGTCTGACGAAGGCTTAGGCCTACTACTAGCATTTAATGGTATGCCTTTATTTACATTATTAACTGGGTGGTTTTTTTTTTGTATCTGTGTATTCTAGTGGTGAAATTGACCAAAAGTCATGGCTTGAACAATATGTTTAAAATTATGAAAGCGGAGAGGAAATTGTAGACAAATGATGACAGTGATGTAAATGTCCAGTTACTATTCTTGTTTTTGTTTCTAATTTCTGTTTATAAATCTTCAATTTTAAAACAGATTTGCTTGTGAACGTATAGTAATTGTTTCTTTCTATAAATATAATTAGTTTGGTTTTTCGATTTGTTTCCTAAATATTTTCAAAATCACAAATTGCAATTGCAAAGTCCAACCGAAGTCAAAATATATAAGTATTTTATTTGTATAAAATTCCATTAAAAAATACATTACATTAAAAAGTGAAAAAAGCACGAAAGACTATTTAAAAAAACACACCCGACCAGACAACCACAAAAAGACAGCAGTAAACCCCACCCCGAAGGAGAACAAATTTTGTTGTTACTGTACAAGAAAAGTAAAAAAAAACAAACAAACAAACAAAAAAAAAAAACAAAAAAAAAAAAAACATTGCAGTGAGCAGAGGGAGCGAAGGCCAGAGAGTAACTGAGGGGACATATGGAAAACATGATCTTGATTCTAGATAAGGAAGAGGGCTTTTTATTGAATTTAGCCGTAGATATATGTCTTCTCATTTCTCCGTCTCAATTGGTAGGTGGACCCCGGTTTCGGAATCCAGCAAGCGAATCTTTAACTCTTACTGTCTTTCTTAGCGCTAGCAAACCTCAATAACAATAATAATAATAATAATATTATAAAAAGTGAAAAAAGCACGAAAGACTATTTAAAAAAACACACCCGACCAGACAACCACAAAAAGACAGCAGTAAACCCCACCCCGAAGGAGAACAAATTTTGTTGTTACTGTACAAGAAAAGTAAAAAAAAACAAACAAACAAACAAAAAAAAAAAACAAAAAAAAAAAAAACATTGCAGTGAGCAGAGGGAGCGAAGGCCAGAGAGTAACTGAGGGGACATATGGAAAACATGATCTTGATTCTAGATAAGGAAGAGGGCTTTTTATTGAATTTAGCCGTAGATATATGTCTTCTCATTTCTCAGTCTCAATTGGTAGGTGGACCCCGGTTTCGGAATCCAGCAAGCGAATCTTTAACTCTTACTGTCTTTCTTAGCGCTAGCAAACCTCAATAACAATAATAATAATAATAATAATATTAATAATAATAATAATAATAATAATAATAATAATTATTATTATTATTACTATTATTATTATTATTATTATTATCATCATCATAATGGAGAAATTATTATTATTATTATTATTATTATTATTATTATCATCATCATCATCATAATGGAGAAATTATTATTATTATTATTATTATTATTATTATTATTATTATTATTATTATTATTATTATTATTATTATCATGATCATCAACTTGATAGAGAAAAACATTGTCCTGGACATTAGACAATGTGTGTAGATCTATGTATATTTATAAGTCTAGGAATAATGATACTTTTTCGTAGTGTCTAACTTATTTCCGTAATATGACCACAATTATCCAAAATTTCCTTTAAGCAAAGTTCCGTCGTATAAAAATGATAGTGAAAGTTTACTATTACCCACTCAATCTTTTTTTTTAACATTTAGCTTCCTTGTTGTAATATTGACTAACACATGAAATAAGATTTCATTTTCCTACCTGTCTTCATTGACTGAACTTAAATTTGGGAAAAGGTAAAGATTTAAATTGTTAAACGATGAGTGCAACTCGTTGTGAAACCATCAGGGAATCTACGATGCCGATGCTCGGACACGCACCGGTTGTTCGACAAATACGATATAGTTTGGGCCCAATTAAAACATTCATCATTATGGCAGCGATAAAAATACTTCAAATTGGTCGATCTACATATCATCGTCTTAGACTCTGCCATAGATGCTCTCCATGTGACGACTCCGCTTTACATGAACTCATCGGACTGAATGCGAGTTACGATGACCATACGTCGCTTCAAACAACCTGCGTAGTCTGCGAGAGCCTAAACTGGGGAGAAAAGGGTCAGGTCATACCGATGGACGTCACTATCAGGCCTCGTAAGTTTGTTTTTTATATATATATATATTTTGAAAGGCATATACTTACGTATGTCTTACGCTTGTAGCATAAAAGTCAAATTTTGGTTATACAACCTCACAGTTGAAAATGGGAGACTTTGCATTTAACAATTAACTTTTTATTTTAATTTGAACACCTAGAAGCACGTGTGTCTCGGCTATAGCCTGGCCATCCGTAAAGGTCAGTTTTGTGTCACCGTATCAGGGGTGGCGCGAGGATTTGCCAGAGGGGGTTCAACGTCCACGGCCGATGTCCCCGATGGAAAAAATGGGCGTGGTCGGGCGTGGCTCAAAATCTCTCGATAGAGTTCCTGGGCAAAAAACACTGGCGGATTTGGTGGTGGAGGGGGGGGGGGAGAGGATTAGGGTCTATTTAACACACCTTCCCCGGCTCCCGCCTTTGGACAAAAAAATATGAAAATTTAAAAAAAAATAAAAACAAAGGAAAAAATATCCAGACCTACATTTTCAGGACCTGCGAGCTGAAATTTTGTTTGTTACCGTACAATGGGAAAATAAAAAGTCAGGAAAGCTTATTTCTCACCATCAGGAATCACAATTTTCCCGACCCCCTTTTTCTTTTTGAAGTTCATCGATTCACGGAAAAAAGAATACGTATCCAACTACTCAACTTTTTTTCTTTTTGTATACCGGTGCACACATAATAGGCCTATCTACTGTAACAGGAATGAGAAAAAATTTAACTGACCGTTTTCAATAGGGGAAAACCATGAATTTTGAAGAACTTAAATCGTTTAATCTATTACCTAAATTACAATCTGCTTACCGACAGTACCATAGTGTTGAAACTGCTCTCTTATGTATTGCCAATAGTGTTTTGCTCTCTATTGACAAGTCTAAAGGTGTTATCTTGGTTTTGTTGGATTTGTCATCAGCGTTTGATACAATTGATCACGCTTTATTGCTGAACACGCTTAAAGAATCTTTTGGCATTTCTGACAAAGCTCTCCATTTGCTGTACTCTTACCTTGATTCTAGGTCTTTTCGTGTTAATGTTGGGTCGGAATTTTCCAACACATTCCCTTTGAATTATGGCGTTCCGCAACAGGCCCGTAGCTAGGGGGGGGGGGTTTTATGGTTCGGGCGAACCCCCCTTTTCTAGCGAACCCCCCTGTTTTCTAGCGAACCCCCTCAAATTTTTGAATGAGTCCCACTCGGACGGAATGTCTGTTTTTAACTTACCCAGCATTAAATCAACATTTAGCACCTAATT